GCTTTACCCTGAAAGGAGACTAGCAGGGAAGGGAGGTGGGGTGGCCATGGCGGTGGTAATAAGATGGGCAAAAATGAAAGCAGGGGCTGAAGTCTGTCTGACATAGAGCCGTTAAGATGGTCCTGGATTGCAGTGCCCCCAAAGCAGAAAAAACTTGAACATCAAGCACAGTCACTAGAAAAAACAACATCTGATGCTCGCAGCCAGCATTTTAGAAAAGTGATTTGTTGATCTTTGTATTCATAACTATAGGGATACCATAGGTGTCTTTTTTGGGAAAATACTGTATACTTTAAGCTTCTTTTACCCAACATGCTATCAAAAATACCTTTTAACCAAACATACGTTAACAGTGATAATTGATGTGTATAATAATTACCTTTAAGCTCTACAGAATCCTATCCCAAAGAACCAAATACTTAGATATACTCTGTATAGTACTGAGTGGACGTTTTTAAAAACAGCTTTTTAAATATCCTTGAAAGTTAAAGGAATATCACATATGATAACTCTTAATGATAGTACCACTTTATTCTCAAATACACTAATCTCTCTTTGGCCATAGCATGTAACTGGGTTTATTTCTGTTGAGCAGAGCAAGAGGTGGGGGTGTTGGCAGTGTACATGCTGTGTCCAAGGACGACCCGGGTGTCACTGTGGAGATAAAACAGGAGTAGGCTGCATTCCACCAGCTCCTGGCCCGTGTAGCAAATTTGAGAACTATCCAGTCATTTTAGGAAAACAAAGTACTTAGAAAATATAAAGAGTCTTTTTTTTTAAATAAAAGAAAATCACTTATTTTGGAAATCACAAAATTAATCATTCTGTTGAATTTAAGAAGCTCTTTGATGTGTTCTGGTAATTAGTATTTACTGCCAGACGAATGTCTCTTGGGCATTTTAATTAATGGGTGGCTTGGCCAGATGAGCTTCTGATGGTAAACCTTCATAAGAGTTTATTTTTATGTTTCTCAAGAATAGCTGTCTCTTCAAAGCCCTTTAATTAGACAACGTTTAGCAGCTAAAACATATTATTAGAATAATTAGGCCTTGGGTTAAGAGGAATAGGGGTCAGAGGAGCAGGTACTGTTAGAGAATGCCATCTTAAAATAACACGTAGCGTCCCACATGTGATGGATGTCCAGTTCTTTAACAGCTTATGTTAAGTGACTCTCCCCAGTTAGGGACTTGGTGTTGTTTCGGTTCATTTGACAGTTCTCACCAGAAGCATAAATACGTCAGAGTGCGCACTCGTTTGTCATTACCTCCAAACCTCTGGAGAAAGTGGTGTTCTAGTTTTTAACCCTCTAAGCTAAAGACTTCCTGTTTCCTTTTTTTTCTACCACATTGGTCATCTTGGCTATAATAAGTGATTGTTTTTGAGGAAAATGCTTCAAAGATCATCCTGATGTACGAGCCACTGATAATACTAACAATTACAATAATTCCATTGAAAGGTCTTTCTTAATAATCTAAGTGATCCTCTAGGACGTTGTTCTTAAAACTACCGTAGCATTGGGTCTCCCAACATGTTATGCTCTTTGTGGTCAGAGCGTAGTTTGAATTATTTGAAAATCTGCTGTGTAGATGGATTGTCATTTGGCTCCCCTTCTTCATGCTCTACCCCATTTCTCGTCCTAAGCCCTCAATCGTGGTGATCACTACGAGTGCATATCCTTTATCTCAGATTTCCTCTGTGATGAAGAAAAGATCTATATGACTGGTCCTGTGGGTGATCAAGATGGTGCCAAAAACAGTTGGGGAGGATGTTTGAAATTACTATTACTGACGAACAAAAACAATAATACGCTCATTCATATTGTCTGATTTTTCACTTTCCCGCTATCTCAGGATGCTTATGATGGCCAATGTGTCCTCTTCCCACCTCAATTGGTTAGTTTAAGGATAGTGCTAATGAAACTATTGGAAATTTTAAATAGAGCAAGCTGTATTGCCAGTGTTCTGATCCCATCAGCCGTTACAATGTGGGTATGTTTTTAGTTAGATGAAGAGATGGGGTTGAGGATTCATTGGTTCAGAATAAACCTGCGGCCACTATTAGAGAAAAGTACTTAATTGCATTGGTACTGCTAATTAGTAATTAATCGTATTGGCTGTGGGTCAACCAATTCATTTTTGAATATCAAAGATAGTTTGATTTATACTATTACAAACTATATCACATGTAAAATCTTTTGCTGTATGTTAGCCACATAGCTAATGAAATCCTTTTCATTGAAAGTGGTAGAAACTGCCTTTATTTTCAATTGATGTTATCTGTAAAAACTAATAACAGTTTAAGAAATACTTGAAAAGCACAATAAATGCAGATGAAAGATACTGGTGTATATTTATGCATTCCAGAATACAGTCACCAAGTAAGTTCATTTTTATGTTAAACTCTAAAACTTTGAGAAAGTAGAAGAGATACTAGCATCGATGGGCTCCTATAGAAAGCCATTTTGCCCCTTGGCAGTGACTAACTTCTGTCTACTCTTACCCCAAATGATTGATTATCGTGATTCTGCTTTTTGACTCACTCTTTAACACAGGAAATATTGCTGATTCTTATCTTCATGTATATGTTAGCTGTGTGTATGTAATCTTCTGCAGTGGAGGTAAGAAAAAGGAGGTGTTGAATGTTACAATTTTCCAAAAATACCACTAAAACCCTCAGAACTCTTTTTTTTTCTTACGGTAGATCATATGTATTCTTATGCATACTTATATATACTTAAAATAATGATTTGGGTACTGCTTGCTGATGGGTTTTTATAGGTACACACTAGAGCCACAAATGTTGCCATTTGTTTGTTTCACTTCTTCAACTGTTCATGTGGTGCTTCCCCCTCCCCCCATCCCTCCTGGGGTCTACCTTTTGAAAGGATACCAGAGTGCAAAATGGGAACTGACTTGTGTTCTTCTTCACCACAGACCACCTGGTGGCCCATGGCAGAATGGCAGAGAAGGAGGCCCGTCGGAAGTTCAAACAGATTGTGGCAGCTGTCTATTTTTGTCACTGTCGGAACATTGTTCATCGTGATCTAAAAGCTGAAAATTTGCTTCTGGATGCCAATCTGAATATTAAAATAGCAGGTGAGAAGTGTGTTTAGGATGTGAAATAGGAACAAAAGAGCTTTTCCTTCAAGATTCTTAAACCAGAGACTGTCTATCTCCATCTATTCAGAAAGATGTGATGTGGAAATAAAAGGTGTGTGTGTGTGTGTGGCTTGAGAATTGATAAGTTTTCAAATTACATTTATGTTATTTTTCATGTAGTATTAGATGGAACTAGGCTGGGGAGAAAGAAGGAAAAGAGTGATATTTAGCATTCTCTTATTTTGGGAGTGCCTGAGGGGCTCAGTCAGTTAAGTGTCCAACTTTGGCTCAGGTCATGGTCTCTTGGCTTGTGAGTTCAAGCCCCGCATTGGGCTCTGTGCTGACAGCTCAGAGCCTGGAGCCTGCTTCGGATTCTGTGTCTCCTTCTCTCTCTGCTCCTCCCCTGCTCACACGTCTCTCTCTCTCTCCTTCAAAAATAAACATTAAAAAAAGTATACTTAAAATTCTCTTGTTTTGGTTGACAGTCTCTCTTAAATAGTAAGGAATAAAGTGTAGAATAAAGTAGCGAGAATAAGTGTTAAACTTGTGTACTCCGTCAGCTTTACTCAAGGGGGTGGATTTACGGCACTGCTGCTGGAGAGTCTGCTTATTGTGCAGACTGCAGATTTATGATAATTTGGGAAAAACAGATCTTCTGTTGGTTTAAAGGCTGTCGATCTCTTTATGTGCTCAGATCTCCCTCGTCTGTTCATCTGACAGTGCCTGAAAAGAACTTTTCATTGCCTCAGTCTTCTCCCACTTCAGTTTTAATAAACGATCAGCATTTGCCTAGCCAATACAAGCTCACCACCTATTGATAAAAGAACGTGGCTGCAGTCTAGACAGAAACTATAAACACGAGGAGAGACCAGTTTTGTTTTCTGACAGTTTTCATATTGCATTGATTATCCTCCATCTCACAGGTCAAAAGGGAGGGGGGGTATCTCATATACAAAACGGAAGTACAGCTAGAATATAATTGTCTTGAAAGCCAAAGTAAAAAAGCAGTTCTAGAGACTTCCCTCCTTTAAAGGGTAGGAGTTGAGAGTTGAGACTTATGTTCTGTTACAGGTTAAAGTACCTCCATGTGCCCTTTCAGGTTGATGGTTCCGCAGACCGTTTTGTGTAGATGAGTCTGCCCTCTTTCCGGGCTCTGTTCCGCTGATGGAGGCGCTGTTGATTCGTACTTTCACGTGGTTGTAGGCTCTTGGAGTCTTCTATGTGCTCAGTACGTAGGAGACAAGAGGAGATGTTTTCTTTCTCTTACATAAAATCAGATTTTTCCTTTGTCCTCAGGTCTGTTTTGTATTCTCCAAAGCTCTCTAGGCACAAGCAGTTCCCACAGAAGTATGGAAAACCCGGCAACTTCAAACCCTCTTTCGTAATTTTTCATTGGAGCTTCAATTAAATTAATGGTAAAAACCCCTACTAAACTTCACAGTCCTTAGAAGGATAATAATGTAGTCCTATTGTTGCTGTAATAAATAATCACAAACATAGTGGCTTGAAACAAGATAAAGTTATTATCTTAAAGTTCTAGAGGTTAGAAATCAGAAATTAATCTTTTTTTTTTTAACATGTTACTCAGTTTTTTAATTTCAGTAATAGTTTTTTTTAAATGTTTATTAATTTTTGAGAGAGCACCGCAAGTGGGGGGAGGGGCAGAGAGAAAGAGGGGGACAGAGGATCCAAAGCGGGCTCTGTGCTGACAGTACTGAACCCGATGTGGGGCTCAAACTCACGAACTGTGTGCTCGTGACCTGAGCCAAAGTGAGACATTTAACTGACTGAGCCACCCAGGCGCCCCTTAATTCCAGGCTGGTTCACATACAATGTATATTTAGTTTCAGGTGTGCCCTGCGGTGACTCGGCAATTCTGTGCGTCACTCGGGCTCATCATGAAAACACACGGCACGCTTCACGAATCTGCACGTCATCCTTGTGCAGGGGCCGTGCCAGTCTTCTCTGTGGTGTTCCAATTTTAGTCTCTGCGCTGCTGAAGTGAGCACCTGAAAGGAGCCTCATGGGACTAAAACTATGGCATTAGTAGGACTGATTGCACCTGGAGTCTCTGGAGAGTCCTTCTCCTTGCTGGTTTTTGGTTCCAGAGGTCTCTGTGCTCTTTGGTTCTGGAGGTTTCTCACAACACTCCGCCTCATGCTCCCAGTGTCACATCTCCCACTGCTGCCCGATGCCCCGCTTCCTCTTAGAAGGACCCGTGTGGTTCCAGTGAGCCCTCCTGGGTGATCCAGGGTGATCTCCCCATCCCCTGTTCACACCTGTGGAGGCCTCCCGAGTTCAGAGTAGGATCTGGATGTCATTTGAGGGGCCCGTGTTCAGCCTGCCACAGCTGTGACGGTCGCGTTCTCTGGATGATTGATTTGGTCGTGAGCTGAAAGAAGGCCCTCTCTTTCTTCTACAGTTGTACCTTACCCTCCCTGAACACAGGTTAAAGAATTTGTATGCTTCCTCGGGTGTTGATTTTGACTCTGGAAGTATTTCGATTTAGTTAAGGGAAATGAGTATGGCTCTTCGTTTTTGTTTGCGAAACCAAGTGTAGAAGCAGGGGTCGGTGGTAACTGACATTAGAAACTCCATGGACATGGGGCGCCTGGGTGGCTTAGTCAGTTAAGCGTCCCACTTTCGCTTAGGTCATGATCTCGCGGTTCGTGGGTTCGAGCCCCGCGTCGGGCTCTGTGCTGACTGCCAGCTCCGAGCCTGGAGCCTGTTTCAGTCTGTGACTCCCTCTCTCTCTCACCCTCCCCTGCTCACACTGTCTCTCTTTCTCTCCTAGAAATAAATAAAACATAAAAAAAAATTAAAAAAAAAAAAGATATTACTCAGAGGGCGGCAGCAGCTCCTTAAGAAGCAGTGTAAGAAAGCCTGTTGCATGTGCTGTTCCCAGCACAGGCCTGGGCTGAGGCAGTGTCCCTGCGGCCCCTTGCTGGCAGGAGAGAACTGTGATGCTCACAAGAGAGCGNGGGTTCGAGCCCCGCGTCGGGCTCTGTGCTGACTGCCAGCTCAGAGCCTGGAGCCTGTTTCAGAGTCTGTTTCTCCCTCTCTCTCTGACCCTCCCCTGCTCACGCTGTCTCTATCTCTCCTAGAAATAAATAAAAATATTAAAACAAACAAACAAAAACCCTGTTAGAAACTCCATGGACAGATACTTGGGTAGGAAGGTCTTTAAATGCTTTTCTTTGTTAATCGTTAAATCGTATAGTCACGATCAGAGTCTCTGCCTGCTGGTGTGTAATTACAGACTCCCGGCAATGCTGGCAGCCAGCCGCGGGCTCTCTGTGTTAACACGTACGGCAGGGTTTTTAAGTTTATTAACCCAGAGCCTGCATTTTTATTATTTGTTTTCTCAAGAGTAATGAGTCCCTCTAGTTTTGTGCCCTGCTGTAATATCTGCCATTGTCTTTGCTCGTCATGTCATCATTACACAGTCCCTCGCCTCCCCGCCCACGGCTTTGCCTTCCGTGGTTTCACTTGCCCATGGTCATCTGTGGTCCAGAGGCAGATGGTCCTCCTTGTACGTCAGGTATGGTCAGGAGGTCAGGAGTAGCCTAGCGCTGTCACACCGCCTCACTTCACGCCATTCACCTCACTTCATCTCCTCATGTAGGCGTTTTATCATTTCATATCACTGTGAGAAGAGGAAGGGCGAGGGCAGTACCAGAGGATACTTTGAGAGAGACCAACTCACAGAACGTTTAGTACGGTACATTGTTGTAATTGTCCTATTTTATTGTTAGTTATTGTTGTTACTCTCTTACTGTGCCTAATTTATAAAGTAAACTTTATCGTAGGTATGTGTGTATAGGGAAGAACACAGTATATATCGAGTTTGGTGCTATCCATAGTTTCAGGTGTGCGCCGGGGGTCTTGGAATGTGTCCCTTGTGGATAAGGGGCACTGTTGTCCTCAGTTTCTCAGTCAGTGCTCGAACTTCCTTTCTTACATGTAAATCAGTAGAATTCCAATTCTGCTCTGCCAGGTTGTCTTTGCACTTAGTGGGCCAGTAGGAGAAACGCTTCTAGTTGGAGCTTCCTACAGCATAACGAATTTTGGAGAGGTAGAGTGGGTGATTCCAACAAGATAAGATCAGATGAGTAATGAAGTCAATACTAAACGGGACTGTTTTCTTCAATTACTGGATTAAAAAAAAATCAGAGTGCGTGTGAGTGGGGGGGAGGGGCAGAGGGAAAGAGAACCTTTTTTTTTTTTTAAGTTTATTTTATTTTGAGAGAGAGAGAGAGAAACCGGAGTGGGGAAGGGGCAGACAGCAAGGGAGAAGATCCCAGGCAGGCTCCATGCTCAGTGCAGAGCCAGGCACAGGCCTCAATACCACACACAGCTGCAAGATCATGACCTGAGCTGATATCAAGAGTTGGCCACTCAACTGACTGAGCCACCCAGGAGCCCCTCCTTCTGATGTTTTAGAATTAGATTAGAATTCTTCTTAATGGCAATAGCAAACCTGTCTTCTTCTTTTTTTTTTTTAATTTTTAAATTTTTATTTATTTCTGAGAGAGAGACACACACACTGTGTGAGCAGGGGAGGGTCAGAGAAAGAGGGAGATACAGAATCTGAAAACAAGCTCCAGGCTCCAAGCTAGCTGTCAGCACAGAGCCTGAAGCGGGGCTTGAACCCACAAACCGTGAGATCATGACCTGAGCCGAAGTTGAACGCTTAACTGACTGAGCCACCCAGGCACCCCAGCAAACCTGTCTTCTGTAGAGTTGGTGAGAAGATGTTTCTATTGTTAGTAATCCAGAATAAACACTGGCCGTTTTCAGAACAAAGAGTTTTATTTCTGAAAGGCAAACTTGCCAAGTGTAGAACTAAAACTGTGTAGAGGTCATCTGAAAACGTATCTCTCGTTCACAGAGGCTCTTTGCTCAGGTGTCATGGAAGAGAGAAAGGAAGCGTAAGACATGACTCCTGTCCTAGAGAATGCACTGTCTGTGCAGTAAATGCCTAGACTTCTGGAAAGTTAAATCTGTAAATCAAGATTACATTTATGTACGTGTGTTTCATGCGTATGTGTACATATGTATTATGTTGTCTGTGTGTATATGTACCTGGTACTTTACAAAGCATTTTCACATGTATCATTTAATTTTGTCATATTTGTCATGCAAATATAGCTCATTTAGAAAACATTAGAGTCTTCAAAAGATACACCTTTAACTTTCCATAAGTTTGAATTGCTTATAAAGAGCACTCATGCAAATCTCTTTCATGTAGAGAGGCTAGCACTGGGAATAAATGGGATTCTTGGCCTCTAATCTTTGACTTTTCATGTCATAGACACGTGAGGACCCACAGAAGAGCAAATGAGATGGGGCGGGCGGAGCGCAACACGGCTCTCTCAGCATATAGCCTGCCTCGCTGCGTGACAGTGTGTCCAACAGCTACCCAATTATAATTTGAGACAATAGAAGAGACATTACAAGGCACGCCATGATTCATTGTCCCATTAATTGTACAATCTAATTACCACAGAAGTTTAGAGGATGAAAAAAACCACTCTAGTTTGTAAAGTTCCATTCGACTGTAAATACCACAGGGACTCTACCCATATCCTGTTGATGGAAACCACACCCTCCCTCCAGTGCCTAGCATGTGCCTGTCCTATAGTAGGTCCTCAAAACTTTGTTGACCTGAACTTTAGACAGTGGTGACAAAAACATAAATGTCCTATTGAGGACATAGCATTTGAGGTGAGTGTAAAGGATGAATAGCAGTCTTTAAGTGTAGGTGTGGAAGAGAGACGTCCAGTAGGATTATCTGTCAGCGAACGGTAACGAAGCACCTGCCACGTGCAGGCCCTGATCTGCGCACTGGGGACCCAGCAGCAGGTCGCGTCGTTCCTTGGAACTGACATTGTGCTGGGGGAGGTAGGCAGTGAACACGTACACAGGGAAGCCCTCGTAAGGACTGTGAAAAGGATCAAATCAAGAGTGTGCAAGACTGACTTGGTGGGAGAGCAGGTGCTTTTAACCAGGGTGGTCAGGGCCTTCCAGGCAGAAGGAAGAACAGTGCAAAGGCCTGAGCGAGGGGAATCTAACATATTTGACGAGGTGGGAGAAAAGCTAGTGTGGCTGCAGATGGCCACAGGCGGGATGTGGAAGGAGGTGGGTAAGAGAGCGGGCGGCGGCCGGTCCACCTGGAGCCTCACCCTCATGCTGAGGACTGGGGGCCGTGTTTTGGTGACAGCTGGAAGCGGGGCTGGGCGAGTATGGGCAGCAGTAGAACGGATGGGTCATATTTGCAAAAGAGATAAAGCAGGGGAGTCCTGCCTGAGAAGGCGGGAGAGAGAGGTGTTTATTTACCCCAGACTGTCAGACTGTTTGAATACCAGGCTTAATAAGTCGGAGTCAGGATGGGTAAGGAGAAAGGCAAGAGCAGGGCGAAGGGACGGAAGAGCATAGGAAGATCCGTTAAGAGGCTATGAAATGGTGAAATCCTGCACCACGGTATTGACAGTGGACATGAAGAGGAAGACAAGCACAACAAATACAAGAGGAGCCAACGAAGACTCTCTGTGGGTGGGCGACGACTCACACATCTGGGCCGGGAAGAAGGAACTTCCAGTCAAAGACGTGTGTGGAAATCCAGAAATCAGATTTTCTTCCTGACGGAGTATATTAAGCTATCAAAGGGAAAAGGTGTTGTCTTAAATGTAGTGCTATTTGAAAGCAATTTTAATCCTTGTCCCCAAAGACCAAATAGAGTAATTTCCACATTTGTGAGAGATTGCCTACGAAAAGACCGAAATGTGACTGGCTTACTCCCTGAAGCAAAGTTATTTGAAATACTCAGATGTTATGAGAATGTTTTGAAAATTGTGGAAACTTTTTTTTTTTTTTTTTTAACCTAAGGAAGTTGGAAACTTTTCTCTTTAAATGTCGACTCCCGGAATGGTCTCCATGAGATAGTTTCCACTCCGGTGTTATTGTTTTAGTTGGCAGTCAGTAGACAGCAGAGATGTGAAGTACAACT